GCCCGTTAGGTCAGACGTGGTCACACTTTTACTAAGCTCAGACAAAACTGCTAACGTATTATTGGTTCTCTAAGGGGGGAATGGCCAATTCAGGTCAGGCGACTTCTGAAGCTGGCGCGATCGCAATTGTACCACGTACATGATGAACATGCTCTATAAATCACCATACAATTTCTGCCTTTCGAGAAACAATATGCGACTGGCTGACAGTATCGCTCAGACGACAAGCATCAGTGAATAATTTAAAGAATCTGCAGCTCAAAAGACCTACGACAAACGAAAGCCATCCTCAAAACAGCGCGGCCAATCGCGTTGGTGCTAAAGTACAGTTGTCGCAAAACAAGTACGTCGAGCTGTGGCTTATTCCTTATCGCTGAAACATTAGCATTGGTTTTGAGGTCAGACAAGCTTAAGTGAGATGGAGGAAACCGTTGCCATATCAAAACCCTAAAATCAGTTCATTATCAATCTCCAAAGGAACCTGGAAATGTGGAAAACTGGAAGCATCTGTGCTATATCCTTTTGTCACATGATCACATGAGGACAAAAAACAACAGAAACCAACAATAAGCATCTTTTAATTTGTAAGCCACCTAAAACGAAAATGCTGGCACTCGCAATAATGGAAAACAGCTCTACAAAATTAAAAATTCTAGTCAACCAAACAAAAGGTTGGACACCAGTCAAAGCTTTTTGGTCGATGGTGTCTTTTGCCTAACCTTACCCAACATGGATCCTTTAACTTAGGCTGATACACATTCACTGTAGGCAGCTGGCCAGACTGGTAATAGGGAAAACGGACAGTTTTACTGGCTAATTTAAAGATAATGTATAGTAGTCAATCTGTGACTATGCATGAACAACTTAGTTACAAATGGAACACGGACGGATGCAATAAAACCCGACATGGTGATGGAACCGATGTATACATGTTTCGGTTATCAGAGATTGAATGCCAAATGAGCTAACCTTAAATCGCACAGCACGTACTCACGTGGTTTACTACGTACTGGGCATTGAAATCTATTGGGCAAGTTCTGGTGCCACGCGATAGAGGCAAAAAAGCGGTATAAGTAAAGAATGTGTCAGAGGCGTGAGAAAAGACAAATTTATGCAAGACGAATATAAAACCAGGCGACTTGTTAAGTCCTTAACTTCACGCTTACAGTAAAGTGCTTCGGTAAGTTTGTAGTGTAAAAGGCAAAGAAGACGTAAAACTTATAAAGATTCACTTCACCGATATTCAATGAACCCAAAACACCACAAAAGTACAGTAGAAACAATGAAAAGGGCTCGAATACAAATGGATATTATAAGTGAAAGCAAAGTATTCACATGGGTGTTGGGAAGTAATGTCGGTGACAGCAGAAGACAAGACGGACAAACAACAGGTGGTAGGAAAGAGAAACCATGACGCAGGAATAATTACTGGGCTATAGACGTGATGGCCAAGGGCGAACTTACCGCATGATGCACGGACCAAAGGGCATAATCAGATTTAAGAACCAGAAAGACAGTATCAATGAGTACTTGAGACATGGTACAGACGTCTATGGAAAGGGATGCCAGGAACGAGACGCAGCAAGGATGTCGCTTATTGGAAGGATGCAAAGTAAACTGCAGATGCGTTAGCAACAACCACTGGAATTCCCCTTAGAAGTGCCGGCACCAGAAGCCGTTGCTCCACTTGGATAATTTTGTGGGCCAAGTTTGATACCGTTAGCCTACAGAAATAGGAAAATTAGGCAATTTCAGAACATACATCGTTGTTCACATCCAGCACACCTTCTTGTATCTTTTCGTTAATACACTTTGCAGTCTCTATAAAGGCTTCCTCCACATTTTTCGCCGTCTTTGCAGAGGTTTCAAGGAAAATAAGACCATGTTCTCGTGCGAAGGCCTCACCCTCTTCGCGAGGAACATCGCGACGGCTCTCGAGATCACATTTGTTCCCTATAAGCATGATGACCATGTTGGAACTTGAATGTTGTTTGGCATCTTCGAGCCACGACGTAAGATGCGCAAAAGTATCTCGTCTAAAATAGATTTGGTAAGATAGTCAAATAGGACCGAACCGCGTTATGTCATATACGAGAAGGGCACCTGCGGCACCACGATAATAAGAGCGAGTAATTGAACGGAATGTTTCTTGTCCAGCCTAACTGTAAGAAGGTAATATAATAGACAAACCGTATCCCATATTTGTAGTTTAATCTGCTTTCCATCGAGATTTATCATGCGGGCACCGAACTCAACGCCAATGGTTAAATCATGAACAGGTTGGAAGCGTTTGTCAGTAAACTGGAGAAGGAGACAGGATTTTCCCACACCTTAAAAGTTACAACAGAAATAAAAATAACATACCTGTGTCCCCAATAATAATATATTTGAACATATAAGCATACATCTCTGCGGAAAAGTGAAAAAACCGCGAGTTAAGTAAGACCGTTTCAAACAAAGTTTCTTCATTATTAAAACTAGTGATAAAATACTATTTAATTATTTCAAAAATCAACAAAATATATCAGTTTTAATACTTGTGCTTGTGCAAGACGTACACGCGTACACCGCGTTATTTCAAAAATGCGTCGGTTGCTGCTTGTCCTCCTCCTGTGTGAGTCTTGTATCCTTTAATATTAGTCACTTGCTAGCGAATTTGCACAACTTTCATCCTTTGTAATAATAGCCATCTGCACTTGCGTCTGAATATTTTCCGGCTTCTCAGTAATTATTTTGTTTGCGTATTGTGATACGTTCACATTACGTAGTGGCAGTTGATCTAAAACTACTTGGGTTTTACCAGCAACATAACTGATCCCAATGAGCAATGTAGCTAGTTCTTGTTTCCGCCTGCTGTTTATGTAAAGTAGATTACACAATTTAGAAACATTTGCCCCTTCTCCATTTCGATCATGTCATTTTAATGTTTTTTTTGTTGCCGCCACGTTTCATACGATATTTTTTTATTTATCAACTATGCTTATTTCTATGGGTTTCGGAATTCGGAATTTTGTATTCTATTTTCCCTTATCTATTCCTAGCTGCCCTCGCCTTTAGCGATGACGTGGACATTGCTGACGATGAGCCGACTCCGTCGAAAGTCAATGAGCCCGAAACTGTAGGTTATTTATCTTTGCTAACTC